GCTACAACACCAGATCCAAATGCTACAACACCAGATCCAAATGCTACAACACCAGATCCAAATGCTACAACACCAGATCCAAATGCTACAACACCAGATCCAAATGCTACAACACCAGATCCAAATGCTACAACACCAGATCCAAATGCTACAACACCAGATCCAAATGCTACAACACCAGATCCAAATGCTACAACACCAGATCCAAATGCTACAACACCAGATCCAAATGCTACAACACCAGATCCAAATGCTACAACACCAGACCCAAATGCTCCAACATCAGATCCAAATGCCCCAACATCAGACCCAAATGCCCCAACATCAGACCCAAATGCCCCAACACCAGATCCAAATGCCCCAACATCTGGTAAGTCTTTTTTTTTTGAAAGAAAGGTCATACATATAAATAGAATATACTGATAGTTGTATATCTACTAGCTAGATAGATAGATTTAGATTTTATGAGTTTTTTAAAAATATAAATATGATTGTATTACAAATATAGTTATTAGTGTTATTACCAGCCACTAATACAGTCCTAATACAGTCCAGTAACTGAGCCTAATACATAAAATCCGATAGATAAAAATACAAAAGTAGATACTTTTAGCAGTAATCCTGTAATTAACACTGATACAGGTACTTTAACAGATACAAATAGCTTAACTTCTACTAGCAATACAAATGGTCCAGTTGTTACTACAGTTTTTACTGATAGCTTAAGTTCAGCTAGCTCAACTAGGGTTAATGTTGATCCAAATATCACTGGTGTATATATATATTCAAAAAGAGATCATATATATATATATATTAGATAATAATTATCAATGAAATAAAATTTATTTTTCTTTTTACTAAATAGGTTCTGAAACACCTACAGATCTACCAACACCAAGTAATTCTTTTGTACATTAATTATAGAATTAATATATTTATACTTATATAATTAATATATTTATATTTATAATTAATTTATATGAAATTAATTAGCTTCCACTAAAACATATGAACATGAACCATGTACAAAACCTGATGATCCAAGATGTAAGCCTAAAATAACAGAGTAAGTCTCAGATCTGTGATTTCTATTTTTTTACTTAAAAAAACATTCATTATTTTCCAACAAATTAATTAAATCAATCAATTTATTGCAAAAAAAAATAGCCCAACAGTGATTAGTACAACAGAAGAAAATGAAGTAATTACAGAACTACCAAAACCTAAAAAAACTACAACATCCCAATCCCAAATAGGCTCAAGCCCAAAAAAATCAACCATAACACAATTCAAAACTTACACCACCACAGAAACATTATATTTCCCAGGATACACCACTTATACATCTTCAACAGGGACCAATGGACAATTAACAACATATGCAACTTACATTCCACCAAGTACTGTTGTGGTGGTCAAGAAAGTTACTTCAGCAACTGTAGAAGAAATTCAAGAAACTAATTCTTCATCTGGACATCTTGATCTGGAATTCTCAGTTTATAATTTATACAATATTTCTACATCATTTTTTATTATTGCTGTAACAATATTTTATTTAATTGTTGCTTAATTAAATAATAGTATTAATAATGGGTTTTCCTCTTGGTAGAAAAATAATTCATATAATTAATGATTTGTAATTGTAACTGTATTATTTATTTATAGTGTAATTTTGATTTGATTTTAGTATTAATAGTACATCAGTAGACTTATTGACTTATTTATTATTATGTGTGTTAGTTTTAAATAATAATAACATTTAAAAATTTAAGATTTTGAAATATACTTAATAATAATAAGTAATGAGGGGTTTCTTTTTTTTAAAGTTATTTCCTGAGATACATATCAAATCAAATCAAATTTATATTACAGTGAATTTCATTTAGTGTACCTCGATTTAATGGGTCAAGGTTTAATAATAAAAACTAAAGCTAGAATAATAATGATAATAATAATAATAATAATAATAATAATAATAATAATAATAATAATAATAATAATAATAATAATAA